ATTTTTTTCTCATCATAGTATCTCCATCTGGTCCCTCCTTTTTTGGTTGTGAGTCCCTCCTGGAGAGAAATATCAGTCTTTCATTTTGTTTTCTTCAATAAATTCCCCTGTTTGTAGACATCAATGAATTTACTTTCTGAAAGGGTTAGGGCATGGTGGCAAAATTAGCTGTCAAGCCCAAACAGCAGCAATGATTACACCCGACAACGTCATCCATCCCTGAAAACCAACCAATCACGGAAGGGCAACTCCTCTGACGTAATTTAACACATGATCCACAGCAGCGATGCTGTCTTCAGGGCGTCAAAAGGAATTCAGAGCGTGTCTAAATCACCCACCTCTTATGAGACGGGTAGAGCTCAACGGTCAGCACGTCCAGGGAGTTCCAGGAGGCAATGCTGATCCCACCAAACAGGCAGTACAGAGCGATCATGGCTGACTCGCTGTTGCCGAAAGACAGGAAGAAACAGCTGACGCAAGAGATGACGCTGGAGCCGGCTGTGAAGAGAGGAGCCAAACAGAGAGACGTGGTGTGATTACTCTAGACAAGTGTTTGTAGGAAGGAGTGTTGCTCTGCTAATGAAAATATTTTTAGGTTTTATTAAGAACTGTTTCCTATTTAGTTCCTCTTTTTATCCTACTAAACAAATTTCTAAATGCAGCTCTTAACGGTATTCACTCTGTTGTGGGTAATAAAATCATTTGGAAGGGATCCTTCCTCCGGCAGCTGTAAGACTTAATATCCATCAATGCTCCCAACAAGCTGAAAAGGTGTTTACACCCATGCTGATTTCTGCATAGTTCCTTTTTTACTCACTTTAAATAACATCCTGCTTTCATTTTTTTCAAATGAGGGTATTGCTGCTCTTTCTTTTACCCAATTACTGTGGAAATAACCAATTTTTCGTTCTTTATCATTTTTTGTGACTGCACATTATTTATATTCAAAATTATTTTCTTCCAACTGCACTGTATTTTGGATTTTTTTTTCACTTAGATCTCTTTTTATTTTCTATACTTCTGTGACCCTTTTACACACTGCAAAAACGATCTGGAAAAGAGTAAAAATGTCTTAAAATTAGTGTATTTAGCATAATTCAAGCAAGTACACTGGAAAAACGATCTAGAAATAAGTAAAAAGGTCTTAAATTAAGCATATTTACCCTTAATTTGAGTTGGTAAATGAGATAGTTTGCCAATAGAATGAGTATTTTTACACTTAAAATGAGATATTTAGATAAAATGCACTTGAAAAAGGACAATTATCATTGTGTTTTCTTATTTTAATTGTAAATTGTCTTGTTCCATTGAAAAAATGTCTCTTTTATCTCCTCAATCCAAGAAATAATGCACTTATTTTAAGAAAAAATGACTTATCTAGATTTCGTTTTTTTTCCAGTGTAAATAATACGATTTGCCAATGGAATTAGTATTTTTACTTAAAATAAGATAATTAGATAATATCCACTTGGAATAAGACAACGCAATTGTTTTTTCTTATTTTAGATGTGAATTGCCTTATTCCATTGGCAAAGTGTATCACTTAACTGCTTAATTCAAGAAAGAAATGCTCTTTTTTAAAGAAAAATAAACTTGCTTAGATTTCAATTTTTTGCAGTGCAATAATGACCGACGCTTTGATTCTGTTGAGCCATAATTTTCCCATCGTGGAAAAAAAGGATTTTTCTTTTTATTCCTTTTTATTTGGCTGTGAAATATTCACTCCTCCAATGAGTATCTATAATACAGGATATTTATCATATTTATGTTTTTTTTTGGGTTGAGATGAGGTGAGTGAGCAGATTCATTCTTTCTGCACTGCAAAAAAGGAAAATCTATACAAGTGTAATAAACTTGAATTCAGCATTTTGGTCTTAATACACTTGTTTTTCAATTAGGGATGCACGATATAATCGGCCCCCTATCGGTATCGGCCTTAAAACTGAATATCGGACATCGGCCACCCCACCGATATTTAACCCGATATTTGATCAGCTTCTGAGTTTCTGAAGTCAAAAAAAAAAAATACTACTTCTTCTTCTTCCTCAAAAACTTCTTTTTTACTCACTTAAAAACTT